TTGTTTCAAATTAGGGCTTTGGTAATTGCATCCTCGCTGGGATTACCAAATTTATATATGAACAGGGAAAACGAAAGGATTATGGTCGTAGAAGTAAAATGACGCCATCTTCCAAAAGGCTTATTATAATTTTAATTTCCCCTTCAAGTCACACATATATTGAGGTGCATCCAAATAGACTTCTCAAGAATTCATTATTTTAATTTTTTTCTCTGGTTTAGATGCCCGTTTTTTTTCGAAGATGACACAACTGGTTAAAAATTAACGAAAGTCTCTGTAGGCTTTACATTTCGGCCTTATTTAATTTAAAGGAAATGAAAAATATTATTGAGTAAATAGACTAGCACTTTCATAGCAAACTGCTCTGAATTATTGGAATTCTTTTGTCTCTGGATGGTTATAGCCACGTTTTGCAGGAATAGGATTTTACTTCTTTACGAAGGAGGGGAAGGGGAGGGGTAGGTTGCTCTGCATATTTAAGTTGTAATGTTTATATAGCGGACGAATTGCAGGAAGGAAGGTAGACTGCAGGTTGTACCTTAATCCAAACGGCTACAACAGCTCGTGGTTCTTCATCATGACCAAAGACCATGTGAAGCTGGGGAAAACAAGAGAAGTTTAAGGTCATTCCCGATGAGTTGGTTCAAGTAGGGACCTAGTAGAGGCACTTGATCGTTTAGTGTCTAAATAGTAAGATGTTTTCTGTACAACAATAACTTTTGGTTAGTCTTTTTCAAATTTTGCACACTCCCACTTTGTTGCCCACTGAAAGATCACTCAAGAAAGCACTGAGCCCGCAATTGCGAGTAATATGGCTCGGCACTGAATATTGGAAATGTATATACATTCCCGTCCTGGGTAATCATTTGCACCATTGCAATCGTTTGCCTTAACAAAGATATCACGGGCCAGGATATGAGAAAACTGAAATACCGAACTGAGTCAAATGTAAAAGAAAAAAGTTTCACGTCGTTGTTATCACTTACCTCACCAGACAGTTGTTTTCCATTGAGCTTGTGTTCAGACCCGCGTTCATTAACACAGCCAAAGTGAACATGAAACTCGAGCAATTCGAATTTGTTATTCCCAAGGGGACCTCCAGTTAGTGAAGCTCCACTGGAATCAGCAATTATAAGTTTAGGTGAATGCCCAGTGTTTTCAAGCGTTCCAGTAACAAGTCCCCTTTTGTTGTCAAAAGTGATTTTTAAACTACGGTAGCTATCTTCTTCCTCAACCTCGCTTGTTTTGATGTTTATTGGGGATTGCTTATTTCCACCACACTGATTACCAAGTTCGTGCCATTCTTCCGGACCTTTCACTATAACGAACAAGGAAATAAAAAAATGGAGCATTTTAGTGGGGAAACAAATTAAAAGCGTATTTTACAAAAGCCTACCTTCGTTAGAGCGAAACTTGTGTTATTCGCTCTGACCCAAAACATGCCATAGCAGTCACTTCTACCACACTGACAAGACGACGATAAAAGACAGGTAAATTGCAGCTGCTCTTTAAAAATCAGATGTTAATGAGAGTGCTGAAATTCGACAAATTTGGTTTTATTAACGCATTTTTAAGGTGGTAGAAAGTAATTTTATAAATTTTGTTGATAAAACTATTGTTCTCGTTTTACCTCCAATCCGACGGAACACCCTGTAAAGGTGATTATTATAAAAGTGACTTTATCAACGTTGACAAAACTAATTGTAGTTGATAAAACTTAGTACTTGTTCCTGTTTGACCCCCAAACCGACGCCGCTCCGTACAGTTTGTTTTAGAACTAAACCGTTCAAACATAACATAAAATAAATAATTCAATCAGACAATGAGACGCCAAAAATAATTCACGAATTTATCACTGGGTAAAAACGCTTGTGAGCGAGTCAATCTGACTTTTCTCATGATTTGTGTGAAAGTCGCACGACACTTTTCAACTTATCATATACGTTTAGTATGAATTACCAAACTAATTTCTACACTATATGTTCATTACACTGAAATCTCTTCAGCGGGTAAGTTAGATTAGAATGAAGGAGAAACAATTCAAAGTCATAAGGTGGACGAGAAATAACTGTCTTATAACATGCCTTATTCTCGTCTGGGTCAAAAGCTTACACTGTCGTCTATGGCTGTATCTTCTTTGAACGCCTCTTTAGGATTTACTATTCTTAAGAAACTGTCATGGATTTCCCAGATCTCGAGGTTCTTTAACAAATTGCATTTTGCGTACCAGATCAAAGTTCGTTCTAATATAGAAGGACAGTAACTAAATAAAGGTTTATGTAGCTCCAGTTATACTAACCGCCATCTTCTGTGATGTTTACATAGCCCCATTTTCCCTCTGAAAAAGATACAATTAAACATAATAAAGATAACTATAAACAAAGCGGCTAGTTTACAAAGAAACTGTGGTGTTGCGTTGATGGTGGTGTAAAACACAGATCTGGGAGTTGAGAGGCTGGACGTTTCAAGCGTAGGCCCTTCGTTAGAGCGAATCCAAAGTTCCACTGCATGTAGCTAACTTACTAACTTTGCAAAGATCTCCCTCCTTTAAGACCTTTTTGATTCAAAGACGAGGACCAATACGGGGACGAAATTTTACTTTAAAGTTTTATTTCGCGTATTCTTAAAAATATACAGCTATTTCGAGAAAGGTTGTCGGAAAAAGTGCACGCGACAATCCCGAAGGGTGTTGTGGGTGATTTTGAGTTCGCTGTTTTTCAAAGAAATTTCAAGAAATTGCACGAGAAGCCATGGACATATGTTTGCGAGTGCTAAAAGAAAGCAACAAAAGTAGATTCGACAGCTACAGTGTCAGGAAAAGTGCATTGATCATATCCCATATTACCTTTCGGGATTGTCGAGTGCACAGTTTTGCCGACAACCTTTCTCGAAATAGCTGTATACCCCAGAAAGCTTCTTTGTAGCTTCTTTGTCACTTGACGACTTGTTGGTCGCTCGCTTGCTTGGCGGATTCGTTCTGACGAAGGCCTGGGGCTCGAATGCATGCGCATAACTAGCTCGGCGGTTACCCAAGATGACGTCTGCTTGTTGGTTGTTAATTGATTGAGTCTTTAAAGGTTTTAGACAATGAATTATGCCCTCTTAAAGTTTCTACATGAACATAGGGTAAGTGTGTTTGCCATTTACTTGTGTTTTTCATAGATGCTGAGGTGTTTTTGCACAATTTAGTAAAAAGCTGAAGCACGATTTCTGCATTTTTGGCTAAAACATGAGCATAATTTACAAAACCAGCACAGTTGTTGGCATAATTTTAGAAATATAGGAGCACTGCTAGTAGCATATTATGCTACTTTTGCCAACACAATCTATCAAAGCGTACTCTCAGTAGAGATGTTCAATGTAAGCTTATTAACAATAACGATAAAAAGTCAAAAAACAAAAAATATGAGCGAAAGGACAGTGTTATTTGCCACACCCTAAAACGCTATAGTATCGGGTTTTGACGATGTGAAACGAGTTTACAAAGTGACAGGTACACCTACTAATAAGCCATGCTGGGAGTATAGTTTCAAACAACGACTGCAAATGTTGGGGACAAAAATACGGTCCTAGTTGTTATGTCTTCTACATCACATAATTCACAACTTACCGCTCTCGCTATAGACAGCACCAATGGTAGTGAACAACACAAACAACTTTATTACTGATACCATTTCAAGGTTTCTAAAATTCGATTACAAAGCATAAAAACAACAATACAATTGACTGATATGATATCAAAAAATGAGAGAAATTGACCTTGCTTGACTGTTCTAATGGTGGTTAAAGCGCAAATTCATGAAATGAAAAAAAACAACAACACTTTAACCTTACTTTTTTAAGTCCTAGAAAACAAATTGTACCATGCGAGGGCCTCGAGAAAGGTGCCAATTTTTTCAAAGCATTTCTGGGGTCGCAGACTCAAAAAGTGGAATGGCGTTAGTTAATAGTCATTGCTCGAAATCTGATAGGTGTAAAGGTGTTAGATGTGTAAGTTATATCTTCAATGAAAGATAATGCATACCTAAGACTGTTATCAAGTGAGCTTCACAGCTGCTCTAACCGTTCTTTCTGTAGTATCGCACTGTGCCAGTCGCTTGTGACTGACCTACTAGTGTTCACTCCACTAACTGAAAAAGAACTGATCTGTCAAAGGACAAGCTGCGAGAAATAAATACTCCTATGATTCTGACTGACAAAAGCACTTAACAAGAGCTGAAATCCTGACGAACAGTATATGTATTTTCGACCTTGGCTTAATATCTTAACTAGTATGAATTAATCGAGACTATCATAATAAGTGGTTCCAGTGAAGGAGCAGGTGGGCTATGAGACTGTATATTATATTGCGTATTAAACTTGAAACCCTTCAAAAAAAAGAAAACTCCACCAATTCAAGATACTTTATTTTTCCCAAAGACCTTGGGCTTTCAATCATCATAACCAAAAAGCAAGAAACTTTGTCGTTTTATGCACGATAGATAAAAGTAGGTATATGTGCAAAAAGCAATAAGCTCGGCATGCACGAAAAAAAAGTGGGTCTTCATTTAATTACGTAACAATAGGAACAATTGAAGGCAATATCGCCAGCGGGAAGTTGATGTTTGGAACTTTTTTAATCAATGTCGACTATTCCAAATTTAACCCTGGGCAATCCAGGACCACAAAAGTGGCTAAAAACAATGTACTGAGTAGCTGATGGATGATATTTGTTGCCAATGTTTTAGAAAAACAATATCTGTTACTAGGTACAAATGTTAACAGATTCTAATTTTAGTGCTAGTAAGTAAAAAAAACTTTATTCACAAAAAAATAATAAATAAAATATCTGTTAATTCACATGCGACGAAAAAAAACTAATAACTTCAAAATTTATATAATAATGTATGTGTATTTAGCCTCGCTCGGCTAGAATTGCTTTTTGCTCTGATTCAGTTGATTGGTTCGACGCGTCCTAAGTTTGACGTCTGACCTAGCCTGTACCAGGCTCAGAGATAGTCGGGTCTGCTGAATTGAGAAAGCGCAAACACGCCCTGACAACATTTCGCGTGCCTTTCACTTTCGCGTCTTCCCCACTAACTGAGAGCCGGAACAGGTTACGTGTGACCCAACAGAGCCCGGGTTGCATGCAAATGCTTTGAGCTTCCCGGAGTTTTACCATTGAATTTGCTTTGTCCCCTAAGGCCTCATTATTGCACGCGGCCCAATGCGTTTCGGGTGAAGTCCGAGCGAGTTTTCAAGGCCTTGACAAACTGGGACAAATGAGACACTTGGTCTCGCTTTGGGCGGATCTTTAAGATCTACTTTGGAGAGCTGTTAATCACTCCTCCTTACGGCTTTCTCGGAAATCAGACAAGAAGAAAAAATGGCAAAGTATTTCTAGAATATATCGTTTGCTTCAGCAGCCGTAATTCGTAAGGTAAGTTGTTCCTTATATCGATCGTCTGTAAACAGTCGTTATTGCAGAATGTTTCGGTGGGAAATCAAAATTGAAAGAGACGTTTTAGTAATTCGAATTATGCGCAGTTTAAATCATTTCTATGTAAATATCGGGCCATACCAAAGGCTTTCAAGCAAATGCAAAGCTATAATATTTACAAAGAACACCTGATTGTGACACTTCAGTGTCGGTTGCACTTCACACGTTCTTGCTGTTTAAATAGTAAAATTTCTCAATAACGTGCAAATAATGTTAACTTTGCTTTTGCACAAGGTGTCAACGATATTGAGTTGTAAAGAAAAAAACGGTAGTGTAGAATCGCTAGCTCAGCGATGATGGCCCAGTACTTCGAAAACAGTATGTTGCCTCGCCATACCCACGTGAGTATGACGTAATCTTTTATTCTTAATGTTGATTATAGTAATTTTAATTACCACTTTTATATAACTGAAAATATGACATGTAAATAATTATAATCTAGTGCTCCTTGCAATGAAGCCAAGTGAAGCTAAATAAATTGAGTATTAAAACGAACTCTTAAATAGACAGTGAAATTTAACTAAAGAATCACTTTTAAAAAATATGAAATTCTTAAAATGATTAAAATATTAATCGAACGTACGGTAACGACTGTCGTTGTTATTAAATGATGCGTTATAAGAGGAGTTTTTTTAAAAAAAATAAATTTTTTGTTGCTCTTATATCAGAGGACAATTTGTTCTAAAGTTTATCACCTGTTATAATAACCTGTCTCCAAATGTTTTCTTAAAAATAGTTCTGAGTAGCAATAATTACATTCAGACTTTACATCATTTTTATGAAATTGTAAATGCCGAGACTAGGAATGTGTTCGAAGAACTTGAATTACTTGCAGAATAA